ACAATTAAACTCATCGATAAAAAACTGTCTCCTCGTATAGATTACAATAGTAAGTATTTAAGTATAATATTTAATTATAATGACCAGTCTTCAGTGAGCGGGACGTCAAGTATGCGTTAACGTTAAAAAACAGACATGTAACGTCCCCGGAATTATAAATATATTTTATCGTTTCTCATCGTTAAATATTCAATGCTTAACTTGTTTTTTTTTTACCTTGCAAACCTAACGCATACGTATTCGTTAAATTAAGAACAACAAAAAAAAAGGATTTACTTGAATGCACTATCTAATTAAATTAAAACGAAATTCAGTACCTAAATAGATTATAGATCACCTCTTTAAGAAAAATGTTTATCGAGAAAAAAAAAATTAAGAGACAATCATTAGTAGAAGCTATGAAATGCATGAAGAAATGGGAAAACGGTGTTAGAACGTAAGGTAAAGGTTGAAAATTAAATATATACGTATGACTGTAAAGAACAAAAATAAATGGAGAATACTAAAACGTGTAAAAAGTGTAAAAGTGTAAAAATTACAAATATCTAACGTGTTTATAAAATTGAATTCTTTTATTACTCTCCCTGTTGGTAGTGTCTTAAAACGAAGAATTAAATCTACGAACTGTATGTGGTTTTCAATACTTAAATCTTAATGTACGATTAGTGTGTCTCTCTCTCTCACTCTCTCCCTCTCTCTCCGAAATAAAAAAGTATTTCAATCCTACGAGTCAACAATAAATAATTCAGAAGTAAAATGAATGCCTATTTCAAGCACGATACCGCTGAAGAATTCATTTAAAAAAAGAAAAAGAAAAATATTGATAAATGTATTATTAACGAGCCCAGTAAAAATATAAATACAAGTCTCGAAGATTCTAAGAATAAATCAACTTAGACAGGGAGAACGCGAAAAAGAAAAAGAAAATGAAAATAAAAAGAAAAGAGGATCAAAGACAGTAACAACCCTGAGAGCAAGCCGCAATTCATGATACGTATTCGCATCACAAAATTACGACAGGTAGTAACAACGGCTAGAATCAAAGTATTTTTCCCTATTTGCTACGTATTACGTTAATTAGATGCATTATCTCTGTATTGAAAAATACTAATAATATTACGTTAAATATAAATATATTATTTGTTTTATAATTATTTATCGTCAATTATTCGAATAGTCCCGCTAGCTCCCGCTTTCTTGTCATCTCATTTTCTGTGTGTTTTTTTTTTCTCAAATCCTTTGCTATACATTCTCACCTCAAATTATTTATACTCTTCCGTACCGTACCCTAAAATATATGTATATACAAGTGCGGCAAGGCAGCCATTTTTCTACTTTGTAATCATTTTAACCGTACCGTTTTTTTATTTTTCTATTATCTGTCTCTCTCTTCTCTCTCTCTCTCTCTCCCTCTCTTTGTCACGCTTAGAGTTAATTTAATCATCCCTCTGAGACTCGTTTTTAATTATAATTATAAATTAATTTACCTCGCTTACCGATTGCCAACAAACACATTAATTATCGTTAAAAACGCTTCTAATAAATCAAATGTTATATAAATCACTTTCTCCCAACAACGCTCTTTGCATACACTTAAAAATTCGTTAAATTTATACGCTTTAACTTTATTTAAAAATCGATAAATAGTAAGGAATACAACAGTTAGTTAGTAATAATTATAATCATAAATCGATATACTAGTGGTTCTTGTTTCTTTATTATATTACTTTTACTTTACTTCTTTTTTATTATAAAATAAGTTCTGAAAAAACAGCCGTAGGGATAAAACTCTTTTTTTTTTTTTAATTTTTCCACTCTCTTTAGTAAATTTTGCCGCTCTCGCGCGTTCTCTCCCTCTCTTTCATATCTTTCTCTCCCACTCTTTCTCTCAAGTAGGTATTAATTAACGTGTATTATTTAGAACAACCACCACAATGTAATCGCTTTATTTCCTTTTATCTATTTAGCTTCTTATTAATTTACTATTTATTTGAATGTTCAAACAACTTGTGGCCTCTGTGTGTATTTTTTCTATCTTTTTCAATTAAGTTTACTTCTTCATGCGCGTTAAAGTGTACGTGTTAAGTGTATTATCTGTTACGTGTGTTCCGTGTAATTATCATAACAATTAGTGTAAAAACGGTTTTGTTTGATTGAGCTCCCTATTACTCGTCTTTTCTTGTCTTTAGTATTCTTTTTCTCTTTGTTAGTCAGTAGTTGTGTTATTGCGTTGATCCCAGAAGTTTCCACGAGTCGCGTTTGTTAATGCTTTCTCTTCATCCCATTGACTTTAACGTATCCCTGGTTCTACGATACTATATGATACTGTTAACAATAGCTTCAACAAGAATAAAAAAAATATACCGAATCGAGACGCGAAACGGTAACGAACGTCTGATGGACACGTAAGAATAAGTACAGATGTAAAGGAATAAAAAAAAAAAAAAAAAAACCAAAAAGAAAAGAAAAAGAAATCTTGACAGATTTTGGAGTATATTGTAAATATATGAGTTAACGTTGCGAAGAAAAAAGGATCTCGTTGCAATTTGACAAGAGAAATGAATAGATGCTGTGAGGAAAAACAAAAATAGAACCGAAATGAACTAAACTCGTATTTGAGATCATATTCGAGGAGAAGCTTACACAAATTGTTGATTGATTATTTAATTGTAAACCTACGAATTATATAGTGTGACCTCGTACAAAAATTTAAAATTACATTTAGCGTAATACTTGCGATTCTTATTGACAAAGTAAGACACAACGCGACCCGCTCAGTAATAAACATGAGCATTTGAGAGCATTCTTCCGAAATATTCATTGTTTAGAACTATGGTAAATCCTACAGAGTAAATACAATTAAGTCATATATATTTAATCAGGTAGACTTTTCAGATCGGCGGCCCCCCGCCGAGAACACCGTACAAATTATACAAATACCCCTCCCTCCAACCTTTAGATACCATGATCTCTCTCTCCCTCTCTCTCATCTCTAATATCATCTAAAATTTAAACACTTATAAGCATCATCGTACAATATTTGTAATTATTATAGAGACAATAATAATATAGTGTAGTTAGTGCAATCGTAATGGTTGCAGTAGGAGCAGTCGCAACAGTAATTAGTGGTAAATAGCCTGTAAATAGTTTTTTTCTTTTTATAATGGTAATAGTATTATAATAGTAATTAATTATCATAGAAGTAATATAATAATAATTAATAGTAACAATAATTGTAGCCTTAAACGTGTCTAATAATTAACTATTATAAATTCGAGGTAAAATATATAAACTAGTTTCCATATTTGATGCAAATACAGCCCGTACAGAAACCTGTCTGACGGTCAAAAAGTTCTTATGATACAATTTTTCTTTCATTTTCATTAAAATTCATTAGCGTTTGTTTCGTTTCCTTCTTGTCCTCTTCCTTCCAGAAATGATAAACCCTCGAATACAAATGGAAACGGAAAAGGACCAGACAAATGAAATACAAGTCAAAAAAAAAAGAACAGACAGCGAAAGAGAAGTAAATAATAAAAATAGACGATACGTCTAAGTTACTACTAGTGAGATGACGTGAAAATAAAAGTAAAAAATAAAATAGAAAAAATGATGAGAAGAGAACAGAAAAAACATGATCGAGGAAACTGCACCCTGCTGTCAATGTTTTATAGATATACATACATCATATTTAAAATGATCTATTTATTTTACACTATCCTCTGTAGGTTAGGTTATAAGTCAGCCTGTGTGAACACCTTACTTAATTATTTCATTAATTACTTTTTCATACTTTTTTTTCCTTCTTCCTTCGGTCAATCCAGCGTAACAACTATTTTTTTTTTTTTTTAATAAATACGAGATCGTGGAGGGACGGGTGTCTCGAATGTGCAAAGTCAATCGATGACCTTCCATCGGAGACCATAATATTAATATTTCATTTTTTATTTTTAGTATTCTTATTTTCAAATTACCGAAGTGTTCGCTAAAAATATTAAAGAGGTGAACGAGCATCGAAAATTTGTGCCATCCATTGAGAAGAAATTCTCAAAACAAGAAAAAAAAAAGAAGAAAAAAAACAACAAACGAGTTCTCATTCACCTCTGCTTAAATGCTGTTTATATAAGTAATTAATGATCAGCATAATTATCTCCCTTATATATTTCTTTACACTCGCTTCGTTTTTTATCATTTGTTTCTGCTTGATTTCATTTAATTCCATTTCGATCTAGTTTTAACTCTTATAATACTTCTATGTTCCGCTTCCTACCCTCTATCCCAGTGCCATGTACAAAAATTCGCTTGCACCATGGGTGTTTTTATCCTGGCATCTATTCAGGTGATTTTTACCGTGTTCAATTTTCTTATCATCCGTTTGTTTTCTATGTTACTTTGAAACCAAACAAGATCATGAGCCTGTTCGCGAGCGATCAATAAAATTGATATTTCAAAGTAGTCGAAGTACCACTTACTTCTGTTTAACAAACACAGGTAAAAATTGTGTTTTTCTTCTAATGCCAAAGATAAGATATTTAAAAAAAAAAAAAAAAAAAAAAAAAGGAAAAGAAAAATTAGTAACAAAATAAAATCGCTCGCGAACAATACCAACTGGTAGAATCGAGACATTCTTTGATAAATGAAAAATCTCAGATCCAATATGATCAATAATAAACTCTTCAAAAAAACTCTAAAAAAGTCTCAGACTATAAAGCGCCGATATTTTCAAAATAAAGTCTTTTCTCGTATAAATCGATCCAAAAAATGTCCCGAATTCGAACACCAGCTTCACGATCGATACACGTATGTTGTATGGTTTGCTGTTTTCTTCTGAATCTGAATATATTTGTAATAAAAGATAGAAAAAAAAAAAATAACCCACGAGCAAGGCCAAGCCATTCAGCGCATATCTCCATCACGGGTCAATTAAAATGGTCATGAGGTGGGCCACTCTTTGAAATCAAAGCCTTGCTGGGGTTTAGGAGCGCTGGCGGCATACCCACCTTGGTTGCTTTCTCCGGCTTGATACGAACGCTGTGGATAACTGGTGTCAGCGTAATTACCATATGCGGAACCATAGCCAGCATAATCCGGAGTCTTAGCTGAACTGCTACTGGACCCAGGCGCACCTGACCCGGTGGTCTGTCGCGAATACATGTCACCTGGAACATTGATTTCCATGGTGTTATACTACTTCTCCACTTACCTCCTTTAGTTCATTAACCCATTAATTCCCAGAGATCTTGATATTATTTTTCATGGTAAATAGATAATACATGCAAATGGGTGGTTGTGCCTAATTAATAACGTTATGACACACAGGAAACGTGTCATAGCAAATGGGTATTTCAATAGTAAAATAAGATTTGTGATCGTAAAAGACATTGACTATGCGCAACTTTGGGTATTAATGGGTTAATGAAGCTGCGGCAATCTCTCCCCGGCGCAGATACATTTTCAATACTTGTCAGGGGAACGACGTGCTCATTAATGGTATAATCAACCCTCGTAATAGCAGGAGCAGGAGGGTACTTTATACACATCATGTTACTATCTCGAGAATTAATTAATAATTATGGTTTGAAAATTGGCGAATTTGTCATGTACATTATGGAAAAGAATATGAAATTAGAAAAGCTACTGATAAGGACCTGTTCTCCGAGGATTAATTTAAACATCCATTAATTAGTACCAAGTTAGATAGTCGATCGAAGATACAAGTATCTCAAACGTTTCTTTAATCTTATTTTCATTTGAGGGCTTGTTAGTGTTATAATTAAAATAAAAGAATCGAATGTATAGAAAAAACGTACTGAGATCAATACATTTAGATGTATTAGGCGTACAATTAAGAAAGCGTCGACAATTATAAATGCAAACTTTAGCAAGGAAAATGTATGACCGTGAAACTCATTAATTTCACTTAAACTTTGCATAGCAAAGTCTTTTAAACCAATTCGAAAAGTTTCCAGTAGAACACTCCCCCTTTATAAAAATATAGAATTTGTGTCTATAATTAGCTATTAAATAAATGTAATTGAGAAATGGATTAGAAATAATCGAAAATTCATCAACGTCGTCAAAGATTTAATATCTCAATGAATTCGCCGTAAATTCTATCGGTAGGCAATAAAGGAAGTGAAAGGAGTGAGACTAGGATTGCACTATCATTACTGCGAATCGTTATTTAGAAGTCTTGATATAAACTTGAAAACACTGCTACTAATAATTAGAGGAACCAATTACTATTTTTCGGGAGGTATTAAAATAACAACCAATTAAAGTAGAAAGAAAATACTTGTATTGGTTTACATAGTATAATGAATGATTAAATGCGAAAATGCGAATGATTACAATTTGCTACGATATTCGTTAAGTATGACTAACAATTAATTCTAAGCGTAGCTCTATATTTACAATACAAACAGAAAAGAAAACGTACAAACTAGCATTACAATTATCGTATTCTAAACAAAATACATGCTCTGGTCGAATTTCTATACATATGACAAGCGACGTGTATAACAGAATCCGCAGATGATAAAGCGAATTGAGAATCGTGCAAATACAAAAACCAAGGACCAAGGAACAAGGAATATATCTCATAATGGGACAAAATTTTATTTGTCGGAGAAAAATGTATAAAATATCTCGTCTAATTTTACGTGATTCGTTTTCATTCAACTTCATAAATCAATTACATTAATACAATTGTTAATAGACAACAAATAATCTATCATTCTCGATACAATATTTTGCAATGAAATATTATTAATAAGCAATGAGCGATAAATCAAAGATGATCCACGATATAAAACACCCAAGATGACCGACGGTATGATTTCAAAAGGAAGCATAATAAGTGGGGGAAAAGAAAAATCAATTGAAGGAGACGCGATAAAAAAAGCTAGGAGAAAATGGAATTGCACGATGTGAACTGATGGAAAGGGGATAGAGTTCGTTTGATTGAGCTTGAAGGCTTACCCTGCGGGCCAGAGGGGTTCGAGTTGGAGTTGGGCTGCGAGGAGTTAGGCTGAGGAGGCTGAGGTGGTGGCTGGGTCCCAGGTGGGGGCCCGTTCTGTGGCATGTTCCAGGAGTTCCAGGAACCCCCGGGACCGCCCCCCGCAGCCCCGCCAGTACCCGCTGTGGGCCCATAGCCCCCTGAAGCGGCCGCCGCCGGCCCACCTGCGATCATCAACCACACAAAACACGTGTCACCGGCTACCATCTTTTGAAGCTTTGCCTTAACTTGATCGACCATTTCAGTGCCAAGTTTAAGTACACCTCAGGTACTCGCAAATTAGTTAAATTCATTTTTAGAAATGCTGAAAAATCTCTAAATCATGGTTTCTATAACTGAAGACATCAGAAGTAATGGTGACATGTCGAAGAGAGCAAGGTAATTTAAATGTTAACAGGTTCTTCAGTCCTTGCCACTGAAATGGTTCGTTTTTACTTATGAAATGTTTTTAATGTTTTTTAAACACTGTGTACGTTCAAATGTCGTTCGACTTAAAACGTTTATGCTTGCTTCCCTGAAGAGATAACGAAATTATAGCCTCTGATAAAGGTAAATTTACAATGCAAAAACAAATGTCTTATCTGTTGTTACGTGTAATGACGTAGAATTTCGCTTGCTTCGCAAACTTTGTATCCATAAAATTTTCATGAAATATTTGTGGAAAAAAAATAGAAAGAAAGAACTGATGTGTGGAGAAAAGGATGATTGCACGAGAGACTGGGGAAAATCAAGCATAAACTTTGTAGATAAGATTATGGAATTCAATGTTTCGGAAGTGTCTATATCGAAACAATATATTATATCGATCCATACTGTACCAGAAAAGAAATCTAAATTGTAAAAGCATGTGTGATGTTACGAACAGTACTAGGAATAGTCATAGAACTCTGAACTGACATAATTATTTTCGATATACACTTGATATTTATTATGATGTCCTATTGTATTCTCTTTCCATGATAAAAACCTCCAGGTGGCACCAAAAAATTCATAAATAATTACTTACTATAGGTATCTTTCAGTGTTCGTATTTTTAATTTCCGCCTAACATTTTAAGGAGGATGGAATGGGAAAGGAGAGGATCGAAGTAATGGTGAAATTTTTGTAACAGTGACCTTATCTTGTGATATCGAAAGAAAAACCATAAATGAAATTAATAATCATTCGCGTGTGATAGAATCATAGAAATGTTGAGATTACCATCGGATAAATTTCATTATTTTCGATTTTATTTAAATAAGAACGACTGAAATTTTATTTAGAAAACTCACCGTAACTTCCATAGCCTTGAGTAGCTGCTGCCGGTTGAACATTGTAACTGCTACCCCATTGATGATGTGGTGGTGGTGGAATTTGTTGTTGTTGAGGAGGGCCAGGAGGTGCACCCCAACCCTGAGAATTATACTGAGTAGTGTACCCAGCGTATCCACCAGTCTGAGGACTTGTACCCCAACCCTGATACTGTTGCATCATGTTTCCTGGTGGACCCATCGGGCCACCCATCATAGGTCCACCCATTTGTCCGTTTGGACCACCCATAGGTCCCATATTCCCAGCCATTCCCATTGGAGGTCCACCTTGTTGAGGTGGACCCCATTGACCTTGATGACTATCATTCATTTTACTCGAAGAATCTCGTGGTTCTGCGCGTTTGATTTCAACCTGAAATCAGAAAAATAAAAATTGTCATCAACAATGTATACAATCTTAACGATTTCAATATTTAATGGAATTTAAATAATTCCATTGATAACATTAACAAATGTTCACCATATGTATGTATATATATGTATACTTTTTTAAACTCGCCAAGTCTTACATAAATTCTAAATATGTTCTAACTTGTAACTTTTAATATAACGCAGATTAATTTATAGTATACTAAATGTTTTTCTTTTAAATTGACACTTACATAATAAAAACTAAACATACAATCATTAAGATTAACATAGCAATTCGTGTAAAATAAAATAAGTACTATAACTAACACGAACACGTCAAACTTATACGGTATGTAACAATAAATTAATAATTAACACCATGTACTTATTATTATTTTACATTACAGTAAATCTATTAAATGTGTATATACTAGTGTGTAGATAATGCTATACCTGTTTTCCGTTCAAGTTGACGAAATGCTCCGCTACACATCGGTCCACCGCATCTTCATCCTCGAAGCTGAGGAAGCCAAATCCTGCCGTCCAAAGGTGAGAGTATATCAAAAGGTGCCCCATACATTTATACAACAAATACATTTTTCTTTTTTTATATATATATATGTGTAACCCCAATTTTACCAATTTACCGTCAACGTTACAATTCGTCCTTATATATTTTTATTTGTACATGTTTCTTATTACATTCAGTAACTTTGTACTATGTCAATAATTATCGTTAATTTGAAAAAAAAAAATGTATACTTTAAAGTTACACGTAATTTTAGTACCAACTGAAGCATGCATCTTGAAAAATTGTTTAATGCCTACTGTACAAGAATTTATATACTAGCGTATATCTTGTGTGCTCATAAACTTAAAATACTTAATCTAGAAAATTTATGATGGCTGATTTAAAGAAGCTCTCGAAGTACAATTTCGTACCTTGATATGATTAAAATCATCGGATTAAGATAAAATAAAATTGTTAATTTCCCTTAAAAAAAGAAATAAAAGATTATTAGATTACATTTTATGCTTTTAAAATGACATACTTAATTACTCACCCCGAATAAAATTATCAATCGTATTCGATAGAAAAGAAAATATGTGTTAAATACGGATTTCGATGTATGTCATTTAAATGCTAATTAAACAAAATCATACATATTATTAGACAAATAAGATGCATGAAAAATAAAACCGGATTTGAAGTAATTAAATAACTAACTTCTTGAATGCAGCCACCAAAAATCAATAAATATGTAAAGTAGAAAGACAACAAATGTCTTTCGTAAATGAATATAGATATGTACTAAATATTTAACTATAAAAATACCAGTGTGTGTGTTCAAGCAAGAATTTTTAAAATATTAACAAGCCACTGAAATTAATCATATCCTAATTTTATTTAAAGGTTGTGATAATTATAAAATGTATATTAACTTTACGAATTATTTTCTATACATATATAGTGATTAAAGATAAATATAACTAATTGAGTTTATTAATCATTGGATAATAATTGGATAATATATAATAAAAAATAGAATTTACAACGTATCTTATTAATAGCTTAACTTTGACTTAAGTTATGTACATTTAACTTATGTACTTAACAACCTGACAAAGCCTTAAGCTATCCTTAATAAAACTTAGCCAAAATTCACACTATATATAAATCTATTTAATATAATTTAACATAAAGTATCTTAACGATTTTTAAGGTAAGACAAGGCGAATTATTAAGAGTAGCAAAGTAGGATAAGAACACTACATAAATAACTATGTATGTATAATGCATGTAAGTTTTAATTTATGGAGAAAGCCTTAAAATATTTCGTAAATACATATTAAAAACAAACAATACCAATCAAAAAGATCGTGAATTAGGATGTATTAATTATAATTATTAAAGGAAGCAAGAGCAGGGTCATTAAAAAAAAGGGTAATCAAGCAGAGGAAGTTCAATGACCATAAATTAATTAACTGGCTTAAGTACGAAAATATTTTTAACTTTTCGATTAATTGCTAATCGCTAATTTTTATTATATCTATATTGGAATTTTGACTGTAACATAATTTAGCAAAATTTTGATACTTTACTTCAAATAATGGGTGTGCTGCATTCAAGTCAGAATTTTTGATTGATTACAAACAAAATGTTATCAGTGTGTTTAACATGTGCAACATTTCTTTATGCACGCCTAATCGTGTTTATTATTTTTATTGGATTAACTATCACTGTAAGTACAAATAACATTTAACATCAGGTACTAACAATACTTTACTTTCAATAAATATTTAATTCTTTCTTTCAAGAATTCTGACTATATCTCTAGTCACACAGTCAACAAGATGATATGAATAACTTAATTCAAATATTTATGAAGCATTGTTTTTCATAGTTTCTATTATAATTAGAAGAAAAAAGTAGAACTCTATGTATAATATACTTTCCAAACAATTAATATTCTACATACGAGAAAAATGTAATACTGCCGAATAGAAACTATTTTAACACGTCGCCGCGGACACGCGTCACCTGTGATTTCGATGATACGCGTATGACTCAATTAATATAGTAATCATAATTATAATAATTATTATAATATTAATATTCATATAATACAATTAATATTACTGCGATATCAACACCGCAACGATCATGATCAACGTGGATCCAGGGCGGTCGCGGCGAACGTATTAAACAATGCCAATATACGGAAATGATTAATTACAATGTACTCACCTCTTGATTTCTTCTTTTCTTGGTCATACATTATGACAACCTCCATAACCTTGCCATAACGGTTAAAGAAGGTCCTTAAATCTGTTTCTGTTACATTACTTGGTAATCCACCAAGGAAAACTTTTGGAAAGCCTCCACTGCGTTTTGGCTTTTGTTGGGTACGTGGATTACAAGGTTTTGGATCAATCTATAACAGAAAGGTATTAGAAATTATTGCAGTTTTCTTATATTTACTAACTGATAACTTTCTTTTAGGAAAGATACTGACTGTGCGCCCATCAAGCTGATGCGGTCCATTCTGAAGAACCAAAGGGACATTGGCTGGATCGCTAAATGTTACAAATCCAAATCCACGACTACGGCCAGATTCACTATTTTTCATAACAACGCAGTCAATTACTTCACCATAGCGGCCAAAGTAGCGTTGCAGGCCTTCTTGTGTTGTCTCCCAGGACAAACCACCAACAAACAACTTTCTGAAAACAAAAAATATAAAAATTACAAACACCATGAGAATTACATCTGATGGAAACATACCAGGATTTCAGGTGAAATCTTTTCAAAAATTTTTATTAAATAATGAAATAATTTTGGGATAAAACAGAATTGACATGACATACAATTATAAACAAATTACCTAGAAAAAAGATCATCTTACAAGAAAATAAACAATTCACATTTATTAAACGATAGGATATTTAAAATAAGGATCAGGGTTCTAATATCGCTTTAATAATGTCCGTAATATCGAGGGATTGCACAATATATTTCTCTTTATTAATAACAAAAAGGTACATAAAAATTAATACATAACATTTCGTTTAAACACATGTATACTAATATTCGCAATTATTCAAACGTCCGAGAAAATTACGTAGCAAGGGAGTATTAAAATGTTCCGATCTTTCAGGATATAGAGCATAAAAATAGAGAATCTAGATCTAAAGGATGTAATGAGCGACGATGCAGTAGCATACTTTCACACCAAAATAACATACATAATAATTTACGACTTTTTCAATGTATCATTTTTGTACTTTCTCTGATATAGTTGGATCTAAACGAGCAAAAAAGCTGGATCAGAGGTTCATAAGAGGAGTACTATGCATAACCGGCATCGGTGAATTATTACCCGCTCACGAAAAGAACTACATATCCAACCGCTCATTCCTCAGGGAAAAGAAGGTTGGTCTCGCATAATGAGAAAAATGATCCACGATTACACGAGGCCTAATGACGTTTTACACATGGAGATAAGCAATTTGGGTCTAGATCGGGAGAACGTTAAGGGGAACTCCAGAGATACGAGGTAGCTCCAATACGCAAATGGAGATCCCACGCAATAAATTCGACGGCCCGTGAGCGCGTCGATCGAAATTTCTCGGGTAAAAAGTTATTCTCAACAATCATTAATAAGCAATTTAGACTCACCCCTTTTCGTCGTCGTCCATGTCGGTCTTCACTCTCATAATATTTCACTTAAAACTACGAGAATGTTGTTAGTATTAGGGCGCGAATGGGAATATGGCACGATGCTTAGCGCGGACGAGGGTAATGGCTCCCCACAATGAACGCGACGTCGAGAACAGAATGTAAACGTAACGAAGCGACTCGCGTCACTTCCGCTGACAAGTTAGTCAAATCAGCAATCCAACCCAATGGAACTTCAGGGACGAGAAACACAGAACGTCGCGCCCTCTGCAACATGGCAGCGTTCCCATGAGCCAGCATTTTACTCCAACAAATAGTACAAATCTACGAACAGTCTGGCCCATTTTTGAATAACTGCCTAATATTTAAGGAGGTAGGAACTTTATTTTCATCATGAGTATGACAGTTGATCATGACTTGTATCAATCGCGCATATGGATTGATAATTTATTACGGAGAAGCCTTAGATTGGTACGATCCTGAAAATCATATTATATATGTTTAAAAGGTCTAATGGGCAGGTAAATAATCAATGAAACTACTGGCAATAATTTACTTTATTCAAATGAATGATCAATTAACAAGAAATATAGTCGAGTTAATATATAAATTGAATGCAGTAGTGCTTCTGGGTTCAACGATCTATCGTCACATAGTTAGGAAGCGCCATTTTATTCTTATATTGGCGGTAGATTTGAAATCGTTTATAATACATGGTTGAAAACTCATCATTAAGGTTCGATACATATAGAAAGTCGAACATTTTTCTGTTTATTATGCAAATCAATAAAGTTGAAGAAGATTTTTTCACTCGGTAAGAAATGTGTTGTATGGAATCTTGTATTCGTTGCATAATACATAACACTGCATAATGCAGTGTTCTAATGTTTCACTAACAATTTCATAAGGCAGTCGCGCAGAACGTAGAAGCATTAACGCCTACGTAATTTCATCCGCTACTTCTCTGAAATTAAATTAAAAACGTTTTGTTTAAACTGGAAGTACAATATGGAGATGACACTTGTGCAACGCTGATGAATAAGCAGGTGAACAATGTTTTCAGTAACAGTGCAATTATTTTACGCTATATATTGAACCAAATTCCCACATATTTTTCCTTCCAGTGTGCATTCCGATTATTCACAGCATATAGAGGTCGCCTCTCTTATCTGATAAACTTGCGATAATACAAAAATATGGCAAGCAGGTGATCTTCAAAAACTTGTTTGGTTTATATTCTTAAATTTGCTTACTTTCAGATTTCTCTCAAAATACTTTTTCTCAATACAAAATTGAAGAAAAAAAGAAACACTTTTCCATTAAAAAGAGATTTTACCCAATGCTATACGCCATCGGTTCTCAGAATCTTCTATACAGAGAAGAAGTATATCCTTAGAAATTTTTTTTCCGGGCTTCCCGTTTACTCATTTCTCTCCCACATATGTTATTACAGATCACTAACTTCCCGGAACATTGTAAACCGTGTGAGTCGAGGAGGAATAGTAACAAAGATTAACCGAACTAAGGTTATCAAGCGTGTAGAATTCGAGAGATCGTTTCGTCTTTATTTCCTGTTCTTCTAACCCCAGGATTTTCACGGGTAGCTAAAAATAAGATTATTTAACCAGCCTAGCCCGAAGCAGACTTTCTTACTTCAACTGACTCATCCGTCCAGCCGAATCAATTTCACCGCAAATTAACTGTAGCACAGTTAATGAAACAGTTTCCCTTTTTCTCTTTCCATTGCCCGCGGTTACTTACGAGGGCTCGCACCAAATTTCAGTCAAGGGTCATTGGACCGAATCGCGTGTCATTTAACGAGACACTCGACTGATCGTTTTAAAACACACCTACGTTTCTTCTTTGCATCTTAATCCGACAATTCTGGTCGAGGAAAAATCGAGCATGGCAAATGAGAGGTAATATGAAATTCACGAAGCGTAAAGGTAGTTTAATTCGCTTCTATTTCGACGGAAGTTCCTGCTTTACGAAGGCGAGTCTATAGCGTGTCAGCATCGGCTGATTCTTACCAACCGGCATTTAGTACTGTTGATTATTACCCTTTAAATCAGCTGTAACGTAGCAGATTTTCATTTTTTACACATTCTTGTTACACAACACGCTAACTGGGTACACTTTCGTGTACACACCTCGGTCGAGTAAACACGTGTACTCAGCTGCTATTGTTTGTAAGAACTCCAGACTTTCATTATCGTCGAAGGAGCAATAATACCCAATGTAATTAGGCAATTGATTAAACATGATGCAACGGTACTCAACCGGAATCGGAATTTTACTACTCATGGTCTTATCTCTGATTAACCAAAGCAGACCGAAGTTTAAATTTGTCGCAATAAGCAATTTCTGCAGCCTGTAATTTTTCAAGGCGCACGGTTTGTTTCTGTAGATGAGAATATTTTTAGAAGATCGTGGCTTCTATATTTAGACCACGTGTACTTTCGACCGTATCTACAGAACGTGTTCCCAAAATTTCGTTCAATCAGTCTCTATACATCCGTGTCCTATTAAAAATAGAATCATCTCAACTTTGTTTCAGTTCAAGGATAATCGAACTGCAATAGCCATGAATAATTTTACGCTTCGCTCGGTGTCATCCTCTTATCGTCGCAGAAAATAATATCCGTTCCTCGATATTCCAGAGTCGTTCAAGGAATGTTACTCGGAGAACCTCAGGTGGCTTCTTACGTAATTTTTCATCACCCTTTGACGAGCGCACGTGCACCTGGAAACCTCGAAGAGTCCACAGGACTACTAGGATGACCGCGCCGTAGAAAGGGTCGAATCGAAGGTTGCCGAGGTCAGGAGCATATGGCGTTTAAGCCTGCGTATCAGCTCCGTTGCAATACGAACGAAAAAGTTTCGTTGCATCCGTTGAAAAATCTTTTTAGTACACCCCGGCTAGCCGATCAGGCTGTTTGCCTGCTTATGTAGTTGGCCGACTGCTTGGTCGACTGCTAGCCGGCACGGCACGCTTCTCGTCTCGTTCAGTCGCCGCTCCGACATCCTGCTCGCAACACGTCTGCGGCCGGTCCCCGTTTTGACCCGAACCTGTCCACGTTTTACCCGGGGTCTCTTCATCGTTTACGGTTTCTGTCATGCCGTGGCAGATGCGACGGAGCCGGAGCACGGCTTTTTTCGGCGCCAGCTAGACCCACGTGTTCACCCTACACGATTCGGAGTAAGTGTCGAAGGGACAAGGTGCACTTCTCTCCTCAGTGACGAACGTTTCTTGATTTTCTTAAACATAGAATCGTTGAATGATCGGTGAAATTGTTAACAAATGGTTTTTCGTGTAACAGTGAACGTGAGAAGATTTCGCGGATGGACCGAAGGGGAATTCTAAAATAGGTAGCTCGTTACAAGTGTTTCGGTGCAAATGCAATGGGAAAATGATATTTGTTTGAAACGTGCGGTTCTACAGTAATGAAATTGTTCAACCGTGAACGGTAATCGTTCCATGACCCGTAAGCCTTTCATTATTACCACGATGTAACTCGAAAAGTCGATGACTCTTCGAGACTTCTACCGGTTGATTGAACAAGCCGCTTGTCGTCGATTCTAGTCACGACTACGACAAATCTGCTCGCCTAACGTGTCTTTGATCCGATCATTCTGCTTCTAACAGCATCTCCGATGGCTGTGGGAACAATTAGCGGATACCTCGTTGCTGTAACAAGTTTCTAATGGATAGGGTACGCGCTCATTCGAAAATACAATCGGAGGCTAATGCAAGCCGACAGTCACGAGAATTTAACCGCAAACACGCTTCTAAGTCAGGCCACTTTGTTCTGAGTCACCTCGAAACACATGCATATCTGTCAGCAGTGTGAATGCGATTTCAATTTTAAGAAGGTCGCATTTGCAAATCGAAGGATAGATTTGTATAAAAATTCGAAATTCAAAGGTCTAGCTTGAATTTCAAGATTTTCAAAGAATTGATACTTCCGGTGTTAACTTAGAACTTGATTTTTCTTTTTGCATTTGAGTTTTCGTTGAATTTCGTTTCTTGCTTGAAAGCAACCTCGTTCTCCTCGGTTCATCCTTATCTTCTTCACCATAATGAACTAGACATTCTCTACCATAGGAACTAGCGGAGATCTGGAGCTGACTTTCGGCTTAAACCGGTTCTCCCGCCATTCGTACCTTCTCATTTGTGCACGTCACTTCGAATCGTATCCTTTAACGGGACGATAAACCGGGATTTCGTGGTTTCAGTCGTGTAATCACGATTGTCAACGCCGACTGTCTCCATACTGGTATCGATTACTGAGAACGTCTAACGGTATCGAAGCGACGTTCGTTTTTAGATATAAACCTCTCATAACGTTTATGTTTTTACCCTTGATCGCGATGAAGAAATTGTGGCGCGAAGTTTGTCGTACCTCTTTAAATTATCTTCGACACCAGGTACTTACGATTTACTGGGAATCTCTTTTTCTTCGAGGTGATAAGATTACACGCTCGAAGGAATATATTGAATTCACGTGTCACGTTTCAGCGAACACGCTCTTATTATAAAGTGAAACCAAGGGATATTAACGGCAGTCTGCTTCCCTTTTCCTCTCCTTCGGATAGCTAACAGGATTGTGAGAACGGAAGCGAGTGTGCGAATAAAGAGTGAAAACAATCGACAATGACCATCAACGACCTTATATTCAGCGAACAAGTCATGAGTTAGTCCTTTCTCCTTAACCCTTTTATTTTCTACAAAAGCTTAAGATATTTCGAGTTGCAAAATTTTTGTCCAATAATAAAATTTTACTTCGTTATATAAATAAATATAGTTTAAGTAGAAAAAATGGCACGTCCAACACTTCCTTTCATATGGATATAAAATGGCCCTACCTTGGGCTGACCTTAAATCCTCAAATACCTTGGGATTCCTAGGGTTAATCCTGTTTCCTTTTTGTCGCTGTATAATTTCTCCATTTTCGAATTTTCACGCTTTTCGACCAGCGATATTTTTCCTTCTCTTCAGTTCTGAAGAAAGGAAGACGACAGGTCGAAATTCAATAACTACCCGCATTCGGACATGCATAATCAGAATGGCTGGAACCGGTTTCACCAGGAGACAATTCTTTGTCTACGTCGATTTAGAGAATAAATTTCGGCTAGCCCTCCAAAAGCAAAGTTTCACGCGTTATCTCCGAACTATTAAAACTGCGATATATGTAGAATTTTCTATTGATTTCTAAGAAACTTCCTCGTTCGAGGAAAGATTTCAGTGGAATTCCTCGAAGAACCAGAAATCCTGTTTGTTAAAAATTGAAATTACTTTCAGAGAGATAGGACAAGTATTTACATAGAGGCACGTAGAATATGCATTCCATTATACGTGTACGTCTATGAAAGTAACTGAACCAGGTTAATTCATCACGAACGTCTGTTAACGGCGTCAGATTCTTTTTTCATAACACACTATATTTAGAGAGATTTTAATCTATGCAAAAATCCTAATTTATGATAATTCGTATGTAAAAAAGCGTTGGTCTCGAAGTTTCGCACGTGGCTATAATTTAATGATTTCAGTGGAAAGGCTGCGGTCAAATTGATTGAAATAAATTTCATTGATCGAAAGAGCGAGGATTTTAATAGATCTACTGAGAATGATAATTGCCTGGACAGACTGTACACGCACGCCATTGAAATAATAAACGAACACGAATTAGTGGCTCAATTTATCCACATTACGATTGAACGATTACGAAATACCTAACGAATCAAACGGTAACTGTTAGGACTGATATTAAAATTCGAAGTATCATTAGAATTCGGAGTTGAGTTCTGAACAATACTAAATATTTAGCTACATTTCGAGAGTATAATTTCAGAATGGCGGGCTATTATTAATTATCAGCTACTGATTACGAGCAATATCTCTAACCCCTAGGATTAACTGTGATATAATTCAGATATCTTACTATTTGAAAACATTCTAAATATTTCAAATTGTCCGAATTATTCGAATAGTTCGACCATTCGAAACTTCCCAGTCCCAGTTGCTACGATAAATGAAAAAATAAAAGAAAATTGTCGGCTCAGAGGTCTGACTGATTGCTTAACACGTGTGCGACCTCAATCGATTGTACATATTGATCGTATCGATTTTTATCCGTACAGCATCGAACAAATTCTTTATCAAACAGCGTTCCTGCTTTTCTTTCAGGCTGACATGTTCGCTCGACTTGCTCTCTGGTCGGAAGCTTCTGGACAGTCTTCACGGGATTCGAAAATATGCAGCCGTCGGAATTAAGGAAAATAATCGACGTAAGTAGCCGGCGTATCGTAATCGTAATAGGCCGATTGCGTCACATTTAAACATACACGCTATCACGGATACAGATAATCGCTTTCGTTCACTGTCGCCTTTATTAGTTTCTCTGAAAAGTCCGCGTAAAAATAGCCTAACTGTCTGGCTAAACAACGAACGCTTTTATAATCTTGCCGTAAGCGGTGGAAAACACACAGTCAAAGTTTGTTCTTTAAACGGCAAACACAGTACGCGAGCCAAGGTCCAGTGAATACGAAAAGAATGCCTTTGAAACGTTCGTAATACCGATTCTTCACAGAAAACGTGCCTTCAGCGATTCCTTTTCATCATCCGAGACAGTGAAAAATACGAACGAATCGCGTGTTTACTGGATTTCGAAGGAAATAATAATTTTGCACCAAGGGAATATTAAATTTTATTCAACAGGTCTGAGCAGAACTTATGCTCAGCGTCGAGGGAAGTAACAATGGGATCGTGCAAAGAATACCCAACAATTACGCTAATCACTGCATTCAAATTATCAAAGAAGACGAGGAACGTTAGAAAGACGACGATGAACCCAAACGGAGGTCCAGGGGCCCCGGAAGAGTCTCAATGGAAGAGGTGACGTATCACCCAGTGATGCGTAAACGACGTGGACTGGCCAGCGCCATTTTGGGCCTGATAGTTGGCCTTCTCCTGGGTTTTCTCATCCAAAGTTACCGAATACTTTCGTCGAGTCATCATCAGAGGTTCAACATGTACGCAACCTCCATGCCTGGTCCACTGATCAAACCGTCGGCCCGAAATGTTCCAAAGTTAAACGACGACGAGCAGATAAACAGTTCCTCGAGTAGTCTGGTGTTCGTCGGCGTTATGACTGCTAGCAAGTACCTTGATACGCGAGCCAAAGCCGTCTACGAGACCTGGGGCAAGGAACTACCGGGTAAAATCGCTTTCTTCTCATCGGAAAGTTCCGTGGTACCGGAGAATTGTCCCGATCTGCCTTTGGTACCGTTGCCGCGAGTCGACGACACGTATCCGCCTCAGAAGAAATCGTTCATGATGCTGCAGTACATGTGGAACTATTATGGTGATCGTTTCGAGTGGTTCCTCAGGGCGGACGATGACGTTTACGTGAGGACGGATCGTTTGGAGAAATTGTTACGATCGGTGGATTCCAGAAGAGCCATGTATATCGGCCAAGCAGGCAGAGGGAACTCGGAAGAATTCGGTCTGCTGTCGTTGGAATACGATGAGAATTTTTGTATGGGCGGGCCTGGTGTTATTCTGTCCAGGGAAACGTTGAGAAGAATCGTACCGCACATCAAGTACTGTTTAAGGCACTTGTACACCACTCACGAAGACGTCGAATTGGGAAGGTGCGTGCAGAAGTACGCTGGTATACCTTGTACCTGGAGCTACGAGGTAATCCTTTATTTATTTATTTGTCTCTTATTTTAGAAGGTGTCGGAGAATCTATTTTCAAGTTTAGTTCCTTCTACGAACATGCCTGTACGCCGTTCAGTCGGGTCGCGCGTGTTGTCCACGTTCACATAGCATTAAATCTATTTTCGCTCGTCCTCCTTTCTTCTCTCTTCTGATGCACTGTCATAAGCGTGAACGTACGTGGCACGTGTAATTTGTCCATCGACCCAGGCTGATTAGAATTGTTCGACTGTCTCACAGAACGTAACACTTATACTTTGATGCCTTTCACGTATAGTCTCTCGAACGTGGCATTAACCCTGAACTGGGCGAACGTAGATTTAAATTTTTATTTTGAGAACGTACAGGTGTTTAAGAAATGGAGATTTGTATTTTCTTTTAAAAAGGAGGAATTAATTTTTCTTTTTCCTTCGGTGATATGTTTAACACTATAGAATTTAATTTATCGACGAAATAGAATAATTTACTTAACCGGTAGCTGGTAACGAAATATTCGCACGGTTCGAAGCCACACGATACGTATTATCAGTTTAAATACATAAGCTACGCATCTGCATCATATACAGGGTACGCTATCATTGGGTTAACTCGGAAGGTACAATGCACAGATGAGGATGTTAGTCGTTAAGTACAAGCGAATAGTACCCTGCTAACCCAGTGGCCAGATCGAGTCATTCTCCTCCATCTTGACACTCGGCATTAGGTTGAAACGCTTAAGTAACAATTTGCAGCACGAAGCTCTTCTACTTCCATTCGTTTCTTCTTGCCAATAATTTAATCGAACTGCACCAGTTGCATCCGAACGGTGCAGCGACGTTGCACGAATCGTCGTGCATCGCGCTCCATCCACCGAAACACGATCCAATAAAAACTTTTTATTCTGCTTGAAGGAAAAATTATTCCGGCTTGTTCTGGATTGAGGAAATCCTAATAAAAAGCGACGAAAAAGAGTAACGTCTATTTTTATCGTGCTGATCCAAAGTTTCGATGCGATATCGCGTGGATTTGAATGTAATAATTCGGTTCGAAGGTAAAATGCAATAGGAAGATGCTAGTCTTTAGATTCGTAGTCGCCTGCTAACCCACTGGCAGACCGTTTGATCTCGTCTTGACACTCGTCGTAAGGTCGAAACACTTAATATCTCTTCGTACCAGATGGAATAACTATGAAGGTGTTTGTCGTGGACTTTTCGAACGATGGATTGACCGAGATATATCTAGCTTATGACAATTGTTTCAATAAATTTTCTTCGTTTCTTTAAAGTATTCGAAACCTTACGGTACTCTTCGATTAATTTTCAATTGACATACATACTTATTAATTACCAAAAGGAATATTGAGACAAACGGTGTTAGAATATGATCAACTAAGCCGTGAGATGTAACACTAGAATAATTCCTTGTAATAGGACACCACCACACCCAGTCTCGCAGCTTGATTAACACTCGTTCCTCGACACTAATGTAAGATGCAGTTTACGTTCCTCGTAATTATTATTATCGAACGACGAACTACCAGGAAGTTCGTACTTTAACTCCGCTGCTGTTTATTCTAATCGTCGTTTGCCGAAGCTCGTCGCACAGACGAGGGAGGACTAATGCGATGATCAGATTTACTATTAAGTATCGCTGCCTAATTTCCTGATAATAATTTGACCACCTTATATATTAATTACTGCTGTCTTTCGCTGTTCCAGATGCAGTCGATTCTTTATCACAACAGCAGCGGGGCGCAAGCATTCACCGGAAACCTGAAGAAAAAAGAAGTCCATCGTGCTATTACGTTGCATCCTGTTAAAAGCCCGCCACACATGTACAGGCTGCACAATTACATGAGGGTTGGTATCGTCTCTCGTAACGCTACCTGCGCGTATCGTTTCATCGGCTCGTGTGCGAAGGATTCTGTTTCCGTTTTTTCCAGGCTCTCCAGATACAAAATCTGCAGCAGGAGAGATTGAACCTTCACAGGGATATCTACGCTATGGCCAAGCAATTGGAGATGAGCGTGGAAAATTTAAGAAATTTCGAGATAGCCAAAGGTGTTCCTCTGTTTCCTGTGAATCCTTACTCGAAAGAATATCCAGGCGACACGGAGATATTAGGTAAAGCGAATCGTAGTTGACAATGAAAGACGGGATCGTGCGGTATGCTCGGAACGAACGCATGTAGGTGTTTAAATGATTCAATGACGTTTGACAGACATTTCTTTCGCGTTATGTTAACTGCGATGGTTGCTCAACACATTAACTGCCAGCAAATGTCCACATCAATGATCGAGCATATTACAGCGCTAAGTAGCGAGGATACCTTCGCTTTTCAAATTGAAACACTCGGTTTGCCCTCTATTTTCCGACAAAATTTAAGACATCGGTCGTGGTTGACCCATGTGACAGTTATTGAGTTAATCTGACGACCTTGTCAGAAGATCTTGAACCACGCGCGAGGCGAGCGACGAGCTGATTTCAAGAACAACCACCGTTTCCCTGGATGTGCGTTATTAATAGAACCATTTAGGCTGATTAGTTGGTGCGAATTGATCGCCATGGCGATGATGGAACGAGTCCCGACACGATTCGTTTGAGCCCATCAAACGGAACGATCAGGACTTCGATCATCGTTCCACTCATTTCCATTTTCTGCCCTGACAGAGACATTTCGCGCCTACGTGTTCTGATTTTACATCCGCTGGCTAAAAGTGACGCGAATCACTGCTATTGTCGTTTACAGCTTCCTCTTTCTGTTCAGGTGTTCCGGCAGGACTTCGTTCGTTCAAGCCAACGACCGCCGACGAGGTGATCCCTTGGGATTTTCTTTCGAGGTCCGAGTACAGTTTAGCCGATTCAAATCCGAGGAGAAGAATTCACAGTGACATTAAAGAAGGCCTCGAGGACATCACCAGGGAAGTGATGGCTTCGATAAATGCTTGCTCACGACAACGCGGCAGAGTCGTCGAGGAAAGGTCAACCCTATACGGATATAGAAGAGTGGATTCTTATGGTGCCGACACGATACTGGATCTTTTGTTGGTCTACCGGAAGTACAGAGGTAGAAAGGTCACTTTACCCGTTAGAAGACACGTGTATCTTCATCAACATTTCACAGGTACTCTCCATCTGCAAAGCCTTTCCCTTTTTCTTCTTTTATATGTAATCAAAATTATGACATCTATTTTTCACACAGGACTGGAAATACGAGAAACGGTGAACGGGGAGGAAGTTGACGAGTCACGAAGAAAGCAACGAAACGACAAATCCTTGCAAAGTATATTCAGTGGTGGCTTCCTGAACCTGAATTTCAACTTCGAAGAAGAAGATCCTGTAAACGGCAAGGTTATCCATTTTATTCTACCTCTGTCAGGGAGATACGAGGTTTTCCAAAGGTTCCTACAAAACTACGAAGAGATCTGCTTGACGAGTGGTCAGAAGACCACTCTGTTCGTGGTTCTGTATCAACACAAGACCGAGAACTCGTTTAATCGAACGATAGATCTGATCGAACAAATGAGATACAAGTATCGTAGTGCCAGTATTGATGTTATACCCATCTCTGGCACATTCTCCAGAGCGAAGGCTCTGAATTTCGGTGTCTCGAGATTGAAGAACGACGATTTGATGCTCTTCATCGACGTCGATATCGTGTTCAACGAAGCAGCGCTTTATAGAATACGGGCGAACACTATTTTCGGTAAGCAAGTGTATTTCCCGGTTGTGTTCAGTCAGTACGATCCAAAGATCGTCTACAGACAAGAGAAAACACGACAGGATACGTTTTCGGTGAACGAAGTGACCGGTTATTGGAGACAATTCGGATTTGGTATCGTTTCCTTGTACAAACAGGAGTATAAAACCGTGGGTGGTTTTGATCTGTCCATTCAAGGATGGGGTAAAGAGGATGTGGATTTCTTCGAGAAATTGATCAGATCTAATATCAAAATCTTTAGAGCAGCAGATAAGGATCTGATCCATGTTTATCATGATATAGAGTGCAGCAAAGATCTCTCTGGAACGCAGTTCTCCATGTGTATGGGGACCAAAGCTGACACTTATGGAGGTGTAGAGACTCTGGCTGAAATTATTTACCAAAATCCAGATATATTGCAATTTGCCAAAGCTAGGAGAGCGAACCTGACTAACGCAGCCGGTTGAATGGTAATACGAGGCTGGTAACGATTATCTCTTGGTTGTTATACCCATAAATAAAAATAAGGAAACTTTTTATTGAAAACTCAGAGGAGGTTGAAAATTGAAGTATAATTAAGCAGAAGTAGACAATTGGTATTTGTAGTAAAGATAGGCAATATGCACTTTGCCGGTCAACGTGTCCACAATTCGCTTCCATTGTATACACGCTCCAATTCATGAAAGAAATCAATATTTACGACCAGGTGTTTATAAATTTGGACAATTTGTCGGCTTATGGGTGAAAGCGTAATGAGATACATAATAAGAAAGAAAAGGAGATATACAGGGTCATAACTCCGTTATTAGTGCATTGACGGAAAAATGGTAAAGGAAGAAGATAAATTGTTCTCAGAGCTCTAAATCTGTAGGCCCTTAGATTTTTGTAAATGTTAACAGTGCACGTGTAATTAACAATTTCATCATTTCTTTAAATGGAAATGCATATTTTTGTTTATACAGATCGATTCCCCTGTTAATTCTGGGTGAAAAAGTATACATATACTATGGTACGAAAATGAGTAGTTTTCGAGATATTCACGAAAGACGGTTTTATATTTACAACTTTAAATAGCTCTCTTTCCTGTAATTTTTGTCTCTCAACTCTCTCTCCGGGATCTTCTTACTTCTCTCTTTTCACCCTTGATTTCTACTTTTTTTTTTTTTTTGTTTTTTTTTTAGCCAGCGGGTGGCGTTGGTCACAGCTCGCCTGAGGCGAAGTTTGGTGGGGGTGGTGCTGCTGGTAGGGAGGAGCCTGCTTGGCTATGTTTTCCTGGTTTAGATTTAAAAAATTTTGCGGCCCACAAATTTGGTGCTCTTGGAACCATTTATCTTGCTGCTTTACCATTTTACCGTCAATGCACTAATAACGGAGTATACCTCTGTATATCTCCTTTTCTTTCTTATTATGTATCTCATTACAAATTCTGTACTTCATTACATTAAACAGCGTTCGGTTCACCTGTAGTATTACCTTATCATTGAAAGGGTTAAAGAAAGTACTGATAGCGATTAGTGAACCAATCATTTTGCGCATTGTGCGTACGGGTCTACTAGTAATTTGTAAATAGTCGGTGTAATTATGCTTTCTTCGACACAGAAATCTGTGCTGGAATGGTATTTAAAATCGAACTCACCAAAGTCTTTGCCGGTCTAAGAATTAATTAAACGTGATCATCATTTACCATCGAGTGTAAGCCCGAGATTTATTTGAAACCATATTCGATGAAACGAACATTCAATTTTTAGATTCGTCCGTGTTAGAGATTATTTTATCTACGTATGAATATATTACGTTAAAAATAGCGGGGGAATGTTTGTATATTTTCGATTGATACGCGGAGTATTAATTACGTGGGTGTGTCTCTTTGTTCCTTTATGTATTTGCTTTTTAGTAGAAAAGAAAAATCACTAAGCCATTTTATACAATTGTATAATACTCTGTTTATTGATTCAGAAATTTTGGCATTATTTACCTTCTTGGTCTGTAATAACGTGTCAGACATAGATTTTATCTTTGCCAGAAGAACATAGTGGCATTTCTTTTTTATATAAATTTGTTTTTTTTATATAAATTTTTTATATAAATTTCGTCACTTCAAAAATGAATATGCGAATAGAATAATAGTCTGAGAAAGGAAAAAGTGAATGAATAACTTAAGACATGAATACTCCTCGAAAACCTTAGTGTTATATTATGCAAGGTATTCCATATTAATGTATCGTCCTTTTTTTTACGTAAATATATTCTTTGGAATATTCTGCAAAGATTTCAATACCTTTGTCCCCAGAATATTTAAAAGAACTGGTAAGAAAGAAAATGCAATTTTTAATTTGTAAGTGAAATTTTTGAAAATATGATTAAAATGGGGTACCTTGTATACGAATGATTTCTGTAAGTACATGTGATATTATCGTGCCTTGTATAGACTTTTAATTGTGAATTTTACGTACTGCCTACTTTATCGCATTTGTACCTATACGCGGATCAATTGTAAGAAAAATCTAGCGATGCAAGTCGCACAACTTGCATAATCATTTATGCAATTCGTTTGCCAAGATGCTTCGACATTTTCATCGGATTCCGAATAAAATTTCTCTATTAAATAATCACGTTGCATGAATGGTTGTTCCTCGATGAAAATTCCATCCCTTCGGCCATGTTCTTGAAACATTAGACTTTTCGTCTTTCCCTGGGTTCATCAATATATTCAACATCGTTTCCTCATTCAGGAAAATCATTTAAGATATAGCCGACATTTTTTGTCGTTAGAAAGTGTCTTCAACTTATAAGGTTCCCCTCAAGGTCTGTTTAAGGATCGAACATGTCGAAACTCTCCAATTAGTTGTAGATTGCAATTAACCGATATCCTTCTGTGAATCTTTCCTTAAATTATTCATTTTTCCCTACCTTTATCGTGAAGATACTTTAAAAATCTGTGAACACATTTTGCACACATCATTTTAAGAAGGAAATGGTGGATTCCTGATTCATTGTTTACACTGAAGAAGAACAATTATAAATTCTCCAACGTCGCGTTACCACGTTATTATCAATCGAATCAAAATTAAAATACGCGTATCTAAGTGAAGATATCAGTGACGTTAATTGAATTTAATTTAATTGTACACTCGGTAGATAAAGATTACTTAAGCAACAGTAAAAAAAGGGATAAGCTCAATAACACGTTAACCTTTAACAGGCGACGTAGAAATCACGATGCATTTATTTTGTATACAAATTTTCGCGGAACATTTTGCATTTTATTTGAACAGAATTAAATTTTTACGTTAAAATTGGTCGAGAAATTTATACAATACCCATTTCTATAAAAATCAGTCAATAATTTGATATGCCAGAATAAAAATCTGCATTTAAAACGTCAAAATCTTTCCTCCTCCAAGCAATTTAATTTCAAGGCAACTCCGGCGCTTTCCTATCAGCTTTTGTTAATCGAATCAAAAATCAGTGTTTTTTCTGAAGATACCGTGGAACGAGCTCGTATATAAAGCTACGTCGCGAACTAACAATAAGCAGAATCCGTGGGAAAAAGAAACGCGCCCGACGGGAAACTGAGAAACGGAACAAAGAAGGCGAATCGTCAGGCGACTTATCCGGTCAGACGACGTTTAGGAAATTACAATTTATCGCTCCAAGCTCAAGGTTGTTGCCTATCGCTTGGTAGCAGTGCGACATACGGCAGAACCGTTGAAGCACATCGTCGCCATATTCAAACGTGAATCCTCGACGCAGTTGCGGTGCAATAGTGTCGAAAGATCGTTTGATCGTATCGGTTCTAACGGCGGCCCACGCCTGTCGAGGCACAAATGAAGGGAACGACGAAATCCTGCTTAATGCTGTCATTGTTGACAGTGTTGGCTATTAATCAACTAGAAGCGAAGATTCTGACAGAATGCGAAGCTGTGCAGGAGCTGGAACGGGCAAAGATTCCTAGGAGCCTGATCAGTAATTGGGTCTGTCTGATGCAAAGCGAGAGCAAATTAAATACGGGTCTAATCACCGGCCCAAAGACAGCCTCCAGCTACAATTTCGGAGTATTCCAAATCAGCAGCCTGAAATGGTGCTCCAGAGGACACACCGGAGGTATCTGTAACAAACGCTGCGAGGATTTCGCGAACGATGACATCCAGGATGACATTACTTGCGCCCTGAAGATCCAGCAGACGGAGGGATTCAAGGTTTGGGATGGTTGGATGAAGAAGTGTAAGAACAAACCGTTACCGAACATCGGAAAATGTCTGAAGCTGTAAACAATCATTCGTGGAAGAATTTCAGAAGGATAAGGATGATTGTTACATCATCGCTGGACGATTACTGAACTTTTTGGTGATGGCTTTGTTATGATTATACGCATATTTTGTATGATTTTTATGGCTGCACGTTATTATTATTCATCAATGAAATTGTTCATTAATTGATACAATGAAATGTTATAATGACTCTAGTTGGATTATAATGAGCGAGTTAAAGGTCGCGTATACTATGTGTGTGTATATAATCTAATAGATAGTTCAGTGATAACTATTTGATAAGCTTTTATACATCTATTTTTTTATGTATATACAGATGAAATATACGTCCGTTCTAATCCGTGAACCCAGGTCTGTTACTTTATCCGCTTGAAATAATTAAATGTCAATTATTTCTTCGTTAGAATGATAACTGTTTTAATTATGAATAGATGTCTGATAACATCCGCTACGTAAACATTCTGTAATTTAATCGTACCAAGTGGTACGGATAATTATTACGAGCTGGAATATTTTTATCAGGGGATTCTTAGAACACAATGTGATCAGATAACGTTGTACATCCAGTTTCCAGAAATTCGTGTGGCAAATTTTATCGGTTGTTGTTATGTAATATTCAATGCAGAATCGAATACAATTGAGAATCAAAACGATAGAAAACAATAGAAACTATTTGTTACGTACTGTGATTTTTTAAGAGAAATTTACTGTTATTGTAATTTAATTCGTTCAATCGTTGAATGAACCGCAAATATCCTTTGGTATTCATTGTATTCCACCGGTGGACAGTGTTTGCGCAAGAATCGGGAGGATATTTCTTTAATATGAATATAAATCGGTTGGAATTAGGCCAATAATGATGCAAGAAATCGCGGTGATCTTAAACGCGTCGCTCCACTTGGCACACCGGATCGGTAAACACCGAACACAAAAATGGTTTAGAAATTCCTACTGTTAGAATTACAAAACTAGCCGTGACAGGACTACGCGAATTTCTTCCCGATTTCATTTTCTGCCAGGAGAAAGGATTCGCGATATCGAATGTTTCAAAAATCATTTTTATTCCAGACAGAGTCAAACTATCGACACCTGACCGATGCGATGATGCAAACATCGTCGAAGATAAATCAAGAAAATGTTTAATCTAGCATCGAATGTTAACCTCTTTAACCCTTGATAAATCAATGACAAAAAAATTGCTTACTTAAAAAGTACGAAGGATACAAGGTTAAAACAAAGGCTAATGTTTGTATATTAATTTCGTTTATTATCTGTAGGATGGATTGATATACAAAGAATCGTAACACAATTATTTACAGAATCGAGTCACGTAGGCAGTAACAAAAAATGTTGGAAAATAATCTACAGGAGTCAAGGAGGTTTACCCAAAGCGATTAGTTTTTACACGAAATTAAAATAGTCGAGGCCACGGGCCACAAAAATTGTTGTTACATAAGGTGGGTTTGTCGATATATCAAGTACACGCGGTTATCAAAACGCGGGTCCAGTTTGTATGTTTCTCACGCGATAAGAAATGACGAAAAACTTTCTTGAACGATCGATTCGCTCGGCTTTCCGCGTTTCTCTTCGAGATCGATCGCGATCGAAGGAAAAGCCATAATCGATGGTGTAAACGATTGCGCAAACGAATCCATCGACTTCCAGCAATAAAATCTCAAACACTAACGATAGTGTGTTTGGCTTTTAGAAAATTGAAATTGGCCCTTGGATTTTCATCGGATTTACTATCGATCGCAGAGAAATCGGATCGTTTCTTATAAACCACCCGTTAGGATTTCAATCAGAGTGATGCGTCAATGTACGACCGCCTTTCTCGGCAAGCATCGCCAATTACTGACAGAGGTGGTGTACCTGGCTAGTCTGATGAATGCACGTAGGTGCACGTAAGCGCATTTTACCATAGAACAGTGAGTGTGCCTGCACCTTTCACTAGCGGAAGTGAACAACTGAGACAAACGCGTGAGAGCGACCCGGGTCATCGTTGCTTAGCTCTTCTCTTATGGGCGGTGTTTCTTCCTATCAGAGATCGACCTATGTTGCACCGTGATCGAGTGTGATCGATTGCAGACCATCTAGCCGTGTAATCACGGCTAATTACCGATCCTCTGCTAGCGTGTCTTTCGTCTATCTTTGAGTTTCTTAGAATCTTCAACGACGTTCGCAAGAAAATTAATGTTCGATTTCAAGCCTCTTCGTGAATTACAGGAATTTTTGATCATCACTTTAATTAATGCGTTATTACTGAATGAAAACACATGTGGCAGTTTCATGATCTTATGTAATACCAGCTTCTGGTAGTTGTCGATCATTGTAAATGGACCAATATGGATGCGATCATTTTAGAATCTGAATGTAAAGTTCCTGCCCTTTTCGAAGCCCTTTCCAACGATTTATTACGATTTCAGTGGATCTTTGGATATCTTCCAGTCGCGTAACCGTGGAAACTATAAATCAAACTATAAATCATACACATAACGCATTTACACGTCAGATGTAATACGTAAACCCAGCCTGCGCATGTCACATTTCTCACTGAATTACTGTTGAACAACAGTACGCGTTTAATGAATATTAACAGGCCTTTTGTTGGACGCTAATACTGAATGGAACACCTTCGTTCACAAACGATTGAATCTTTCTAATCGAAACATTTATTTATAAACCCTTTGTGTAATAGTCTTCTTACTTCTACCCAATGATCTCTGTAAATCTTGATCGATCGATCGATGGATCCGTTTATCTGAATCAGACACTTTTCGACGGTTCGCACGGAACCTCAGGGTCGATTCTCAGGATGTCTGGTGTTCCTTACAGGAAGAAGGAAGCGCGCTGATCGATCTCGGAATAAACGAGCCCGAGTAACGGTGCCTGGATGAGCGTGCCGGTGAAACTCGACCGTAGTTTAACTTCAAAGGTCGCTGCTGGTTGCTTCTTCGAAGAAAGCGATCCGATGGAGAACGAAGCAGATCCATGAAATTGCATCGGTTCAGGTGAATCAGTTTTTTTTTTTTCGTAATTATTCGAGATCTTAGACGTCGCATTTCCTCTTCGTTAAGGCTCGAAAACAATCGTACAGTCTCCAGTTTATTCGTTCTTGCTCGCAACTCATTAATTAGAAATTGCTTACCGAGAAGTTTGGTAATGATCGTACGCTTATGTAATGACTTTTACGTAAAAAAAAAAAAAAGAAGCGATCTCGATGAAAATTACAGCGGTGGGCACAGAGGATGGCAGAGGAAACGATTTAACGGACGTTACACGCCGCGCAAAATAAGCGTTTGGTGGCGGAAAGGAAAGCGGAGAGATTAAAACGGTGC